AAAAAAAAAAAAAAAAAAAAAAAAAAAAAAACAACTAGGAGCAAACGGAAAAGAGAGGGAAGGAAGAAAGTAGGGAACAGGAGGGGGGCCCTGGCGTGACAGGTATTAATCAATTTTTCTTAGGTAAAAATTCTTTTTAAACCCTTAAACTTATTACAAAATAACATTTAAAATTTTAAATTAAAAATAAAATAAATAAATGCTTCAATTCTACTAACAATATAAATAAATTTTTTTTATTTATGATTGTTCATATTTTTAAGTTGATATTAAACATAAAATACTTTTTAACCCATTTGTGAAAATAAACTTATTTGTATTATTAGTGAAATTAAAAAGTTTATCTATTTTATTTTTAATTTAAAAATTAAAATGTTATTTTGAAATAAGTTTGTGACTTAAAAGGAGGGTTTTTCCCTTTTGGCAATTGGTCATCGTTGCTGAGATAGTGCAAATCCCAATTTTCTGGCAATTGGTGGTACCGTGCCAACATTAATTTTGTTTACGTTGCCACTCTGTCATAAAACCTCAACTCCAAAGCAAAATTCTGATCAACAATATTCTTTAAAATTTTGATTATTTAATGGAATTAAGCATAGGGAAATCAAATCTACAAAATTCAAAAAATTGAAAGAAAAAAAAAAATCAAAGGAAGCTCTTCACTCTTTTCTTATGCATTGTCTATTTGCTTCGGTGCAAGCTCTGGGCGACAATAGAGACAATAAACTTTGGAAATGATTAACAAAAATTTAGCGAATTGATATTAATTTTTATATTTTTAAATAACTTTCTTTGAAATATATATGTATATATATATATATATTAAGAGCAATGCTAACAACACTCGCCATTTGCACTCTCCGACCAACACTTCCAATTTCATTGGGCCACGTTATATTGGTTAGGAGATGTAATCATTTCACGCAGAAAGCAGGCTTACGTGGCCCAATAAAAAAGCATGTGTTAACCGGAGAGTGCAGCAGGCGAGTGCCCCTAGCACTGCTCATATATTAAAGCTTTAAGGGAATAGATATATATATATATTGACAAGAGTAATAATTAAGAATTAAAAGTTAAAAATTAATACTTTATTTTTTGATAAAGTTTGATTATTGATTGAAAATGTAATCCATCGACAATCTTATTAGATTGTAGTGACTACCAATAAGTGGCAACAAAAAAATGCAGATATATATATATATATATATATTTATTGGGAAAAAGAGGAAGCACAAGTTGGGGAGGGAAGGCGCATCGGGAAGTGAGGAGAAGATAACGGATGGAACAGTAGGATCGATGGGAAGAGAGTAAGTGTGGGAATGAAGAGAGGCCATGACGTGTGGCAGACTGCAGGAGAGAAAAATTGTTGGCATTTTGAAATAAAAATAATGATAAATATGTGTAAATTTTGAAATTAATAATATAATATAAATTATGTTATTTAAAATATTAAAAAATAAATATTATATTATTTATTAATTATATTTTAGTAAATCCTTGGTTTGATCGTATGGATAGTTGAGTGAGTTCTTATAACTTAAAAAATTTTTAATTTAATTCTTAAAATTTGATATTTTAGTCTCAATTTAATCTTTTCAATAAAAATCCGTTGACATATCCGATAACTCAAGCATCATCATGGCATGCCAAAATACTCTTAACACCTATAGACAAAAATATACTATGTGGGTGCTAATAAATTAATGAGTTTTTTTAATCTTTCTAAACAACGGTTAAATTTATATTAAATATATATTTTTTATTATAAATTGATATTAAAAAATAAAAACCATATCCGTCCAATACCAACCACTGATTCTTGTCCCTTTTCCTTGCTTCCCCCTTTGCTCTTCTTTCTGTTTCCCTTCTTTGAGTTTTATCTCCCTTTCATTAGTAATTTATTTTAGGAATGTATCTGCCAAATTTGGAGATTTTACAAATTTTTTGTATTTTTTTTTTTTCATTTTAAATTGTGGCTACCTAAAAATTTTCAGGCTAGATTTGCTATGATTTCGAAGAGTCTCACAAGGGGGCTAAGCTTTTAGATCCTTGTGCTTATGAGAATCAATTCATTTTTGGAGTTTTGGGTTCTATTCATAATTTTATCTGTAACTGCAGATATGGTTGTAATGGTGATTGAAGAGGTATTTAAAATTCATTATTTATTAATGGAATCAAAGATGAGAAAGGTAGAATGGCGTAATAACAAGAAATTTTTGGTTGAGATGTTAGGGTTTGCGAAAGGTGAAGGAAGGGAAGAGGAAAGCGAAAGAGAAAGAGGTAAGAGAGAAAGGTCAAAAAAAAAAAAAGCTAAAAAATGGGATTTGTTTTGGGTAAAAACCCACTTTAGCCTCTCATCTTATCAAGTTTGAAGGTTTTAATCCCTTAATTTATATTATAACACTCTTAATCCCTCATCTTACTAAATTTGTAGGTTTTAATCCCTCACCTATTAAAATTGAAGAAAATAACCCTCAATTTAGATTGATTGTTAATTATATTAGCTGAAAGTTGATAAAACTGAAAGTAGATTTTTATCAACTAACAGTCAACTAATAGCCAATTAACAAAATTAATGAAATATTATAAAATTAGTTCTATTAATTCTGTTAATTGAAAAAAGATTTTAATAGCTAACAGTCAACTAACCGTTAGTTAATAGAGTTAACAGTCAACTAACAAAACTAACAAAATGTTACAAAGTCAGGGCTCTTTTCTTCAATTTTAATAGGTGAGGGGTTAAATGTGTCTTAGTATAAGATAAGGATTTAAAATCTACAAATTTAATAAGATGAGGAGTTAAAACCTTTAAAATTAACAAGATGAGGGGCTAAAAGTAAAATTTTACCTTTTTTTCTAAGTGAGATGAGTAGTAATTACATGGATAAAATTTTTTACCATGTCATTCATTTTTTTGCCTAGCTATCAATCTTTCGAGTAAAATTTTTTAGACACATAATGCTTCTTGTGTAAATTAACGAGTTACGTAAGCAAAAAATTAATGGAGGGATTAAGTTGATCAAAATATTAAATTAAAAATTTTTTAAGTTGAGGAACTCACTCAGGGGTCCATATGAAAGATGAGGGACTATAATGGGGGTTTTACTTTGTTTGTTTACATATGTGGTATTATATACATTAACTAATTTTATAAGGTGGTATAAACCCAATTATTGGTCTTAAATTTTCATCTTCTTTATTATTACTTTTAATATAAATATAAACATGATTTTTTTATCATATGTCTTTAATACACAAATGAAGAGCACAATAAATATATTTTTTACAATTAATTTATATAAAAAATAACAAAAGTTAACTTAAATTGAATTAATTAGTTAATTAAAACTATTCATATGACAATGACACTAAATTAAAATTAATTTTTATTATATTTTATGTAAATTAATTATAAAAAATATACATTTATTATATTCTTAACTTGTATTTTTAAGATATATGTTAAACAAACTCATATAAAAATTTAGCCTTTATATGATTGTGATTTTGAGTTCTATAAATTAAGTAGTTTGGATTTTTTTTAATTTTTTTAAAAAATTTATACTTAATAAATTAATAATTTTAATTTTTAATTATTAATTTTAATTATTTAAAATTTAAAAGACTTTTTTTACTTGTGTTTTTAGAGTATAAGTTAAATACAACTTTTTATTATAAATATATATAAAAAGATCTAAAAATTAACATTAATTTTCAGTATACTTGAGTTGATAGGAATGATAGAAAAAAGAAATGTTTTTTTGTTATTAAAAAAATTGAAAGGAAGGAAAGGAAAAAACTCTTTTGATTTTTTTTTTTTTTAAATTTAGTTTTTCATTCAAATGAAATGATATAAATTTTCTTTTCTTCCTTACCCTTCACTCTATTCTCTTTAACCAAAACATAGGATTAGATTTGGTGTTATATGAACGAATTTACCTAGATATTTAATAAATTAAAAATTAAATTTTTAATATAAATTTATAAAAATATATATTTATTATATTTTTAATTTATATTTTAAATACACAATTTAAAAAAACTTAATTTTAAAAATTAAAATTAAAAACTCAAAATTATAATCATATTAAATAAAATTTTAACTGTTAAGTTAAAATCAAAAATAAAAATAAAAATATATTATCAAAAAAACGAGACTCTTCCCATAACGACGTCAATTTCATATGTGTCATTATTGTGCCGGCAGAGGACATAGCCTAGCACAATCACTAATTAGTAATTGCCTTGGATAGAATATAAGTTTATCAAAGTTAACAGTCTAATTTTAAATTAAATTCATTTAACTTATACAGTAAGAATATAAGAATATAAATTAAAAGTGTAATAAATGTATTTTTTTATAATTAATTTATATTTAAATTTTTAAAAGTTAATATATATTTTAATATCATTAATACATAAATAATTTTAATTAATTAATTAATTAAATTAAAATTAATATTTATATTTTTAATAAAAATTAATTAAAAAACATTTATTATACTATTATTCTATGCCCTCAAACAAGTTAAAAAATCCTTTTAAATTTTGTAAAATCAATTTCCTTCTCCCAAATTTCTCATGTTCCATTAAAAAAAAAAAGGACATCGCGGGCCGTGCCATCAACTTACAATGTCGCCACCAACCAATTGGGCACGAGGATCCACATGTCGCGGTAGGGCTGGACATTGCCCAGCTCCAAGTGTGCTAGTGATAAAATGCAGAGTATTGTTAGGGCTTAATGTTTCTGAGCCGGATTTGCTAAATTTTTTTTTTCCCAATTGAAAACAATTTGAAAGTTGGAAGCTTCCAAATTTGAATTATTTTTTTATATAATATATTTAATATATATAATTTTAAATTAATTTTTTTTATGTTCAATTTTTAAATAAACCAATTTCAACAAACAATGCCCTTTCACATAAAAAAAAAAAAAAAACAATATACCAAACACAAATTAAAACAAACACCATATTCCCTTACAAAAAAACACCACATATATTTAAATTTGTAATATAAATAATAAGGGATATGTTTGAGTTGGCCAATTCTATAACTGATTGCTATTTTTTCCCTTAAATATTTAAGATATTTAAAAATATCAGTTTATAGATTGATTTTTTACTAATATTAGCTATTCTATATTTGATAGCTCAATTGTTAAGAACCGCCAAACCAAATAGACCCAGAATCTCAAATGAAAAATATCAAGATGGATACAATGTCCATTTGTACATAAGGCAGAGAGAAGGAAATCCAAAAGCCATGCAAATTAGTTTCTCTTACGCGAAAATATACAGCAGCATATCTGCATGATTCAAAACAAATAAATTAAGCCAAAAGCAACAAAAGCAAAATCTAAAGGAAACAAAATTGAAATGAAGAGCATAAAACGAAATTATAAAGAGCAAAACTAGAAATACCAAGAGTATATTGAGTAATCGGTAAGAGTATCAGAATTCAGTGAAGCACTTTAAAGTGTTTCTTAACGTTTTTATGTTATTATGCCTAACAGAGAGCACCAAGAAGACATTCTCACACTCTTCCGAGAAAATGAACAAGCTTAAATCTCAAGCTTACTTTTGAATCAAGGGAAGAACTTCGATGCTTGCTATGACCATCCAAGAAATTGTTTGGTTGTGGGTGCACAACTGGAAACAGGGAAGACGGACTTTGTTTCTCTTCTCTTACTTTGTTAAAGATGGCAGTGAATCCATCACCTGATTTTGGGTCAGCTTCATCCCAAGCCCCAAATTTTGGTACCGAGGTTGATCTATGATGCTACCAACACACAAAACCAAACAGGGTTAGACAAAAACTAATAAAATCCTATTACGTATTTGATAACTAAAGATCACATTCCAACCTAAAGCTTAGGCTGTCTACAATATAAAAGGCCATGTTTTCAGATCCTGAAATTGCTGGAATATCTAATCAAATTGAGAATATTATTAAGTTTTTTACTTCATTTTTTGTTTCTTTCTTACCCTTAAATTGTGGTCAAATGATAACACTTTTCTCATCAACTACATATGTGATCAGCTTACCATCAAGCACCTTTAAAATTTGCAACCAGTAGAAGTGGTATGTTAGGAAAGAAGACTTACTTTATTATCATCAGATGCATAGCTTTTATTTCTCAGTCTTGAATGCCCTGATACTGAAACGGAGAAGCTATTTTTCCCCTCAGCCCGACCTCTCCTCTTGTCAGAGTTTGCGTATTGATGACCTGCCAGTGAATGCTCTGAGGTGGTTTTCTCACTGCCAAATTCTGATGACATGCTCCTATGGCCCTGCCTCAGATGAGCATTGTGCCTCCTATGCCCTTCAGCGTAGTATGGTCTTGACGAAATAGGCTTATTTGAATTGACAGGATGGGGAATCTGAAACAGGCTGGGATCACCATCACTTTCCAGCTTTCCTCTCATATGCATCAAGGCCCCTGGATTCTCCTCTGGATCATTTGGGTTCCTAATAACACTAGCTCTCTCTTTGCGAGCATTTTCAAAGTAGGTCGTATAAGGTACATTATCATCATCCCAATTGCCAAATTTTGGAACACGGGAGCCCTGTTTCAGCCAAATCATTTAAAAGTTCTTAGCATCATAAATCACGATAACAGAACAGGGGGAAAAAACAGCAAGAATAAAAGAAAATCATCTGATCTTAATCTACTTGAGAAAGCATGTGCAATTAGAAATATTAAGATCAACCATAGACTCAGGCCCGTTTCACTACCAGTTTTGCCATAAAACCATCGGCAAATTTATTCACCAATCACCAGTAATGAGACCAATATTTCTCTTTACACAATGACAAACAAGGCACAAGAAAGAAAACAAATGATAGGTCTGAAGGAAGCTTCATATAGGTAAAGCGATGCGAAGAAGCAACGTAAAGAAAAACTACCTTGGAATTATTGGTATAAAGTGAGTTTTTATCTGAAATGGTACTGGTACCGTTATACATTCCCAACCGTATGCATATATATTAAAGGTTAAAACTTGCAACTGCAGCTTCTAGATATGAACGGCTGAAAAGAGTCTAAGAACCCGATTGAGATTTGACACTCCCAAAATCACACCCTACCTAAAAGGCGCCATTTTATTTGTTGGAGGTTGATGGGATTGGTTTGTTTCAGTTAGCATTTAATA